ATAAATTAAAAAAAATTATAATTAAAAATTCCCAATATTACAGTTTTTGCTGTAATATGCAACCTTGATGAGCATTAGAGACTTCAAAATCTTTACAGGGCCATGCTAACCAGTTTAGCCTTGACCGCCTGGCACTTACTGTCTTTGGAACTTCCAATACTGTCCCCTACGTCATATACTTCTAAGACCATCCTGTCCATGTATTTAGACATTCAGGAAACGTCTGTGCAAAGACCTTGGCATTTCAAGTACATCATTTTATCAGACTGGTCTATTTCTAACTGCAAACTCTGCCTACATCATCAGATTCTGTCTCTCACACAGTTGGCTAGAAGTTATTTTAATGTATATTTTGACTGCTAGAATATACCCTTCCATCAGTGAGGCACTCAGCTGTGTAAAGTTACATGCTATTTTGTCCATGTGTTTCCTGGAATGTCTTTCCATGTCCGCACATTCAGTTACATATACACTTCAGCTCAAGCTTTACTACTGCACAGACCACACACACACACACACACACACACACACACACACACACACAATAAATAAATTAAATAAATAACAATAAATAAATAACTTGATCACATGATCAATGTAATACTGATGTCTCCCACTAGAGCAGTAGTGATATTAGGACTAATTCAATGCACTTATTCCTTTCCTCTTTGTAAAATGTTCCTAGACAGTTCCTCTTTGAGGCATATACAGTAGTAAGTACACAGACTGAAATAGTATTGTCTTGTAAAACGTCTAATAATCTACACTTCAGCACAAGCTATACTACTGCACAGCACACACACACACACACACACACACACACACACACACACACAATAAATAAATTAAATAAATAACAATAAATAAATAACTTGATCACATGATCAATGTAATACTGATGTCTCCCACTAGAGCAGTAGTGATATTAGGACTAATTCAATGCACTTATTCCTTTCCTCTTTGTAAAATGTTCCTAGACAGTTCCTCTTTGAGGCATATACAGTAGTAAGTACACAGACTGAAATAGTATTGTCTTGTAAAACGTCTAATAATCTTTATTTACAACTTCTCTCTCTCTCTCTCTCTCTATATATATAGCCTATATATTATCAGTGATGCAAAATAGAAGAATCATAACTAGTAGTCTCAGACATTTGGACCCATTGTACAGCATGTATAAATGAGGTAAAATTGAAGAGATCAGTAGTTGGTTTAAATAGAGGACCTCTGTGTCAGCTTAAACGCTCTAACGGTAAAGTGAGAAGCAAAATGATATTGTGATGAAAACTAAACATTTTAAAGGATGTAAAAAGCCACTTAATTAGCCTTGACAGTCCTCCAGACTCTGCGAGGCGTTGAGGAGTGTGTGAGCAAGGATTTTATAGGTGTGAGGGGACAAACGAGCCACTAAATGAGGGCTGATTAAAGCAGTGTGAATTATTCATCATATTATGGGACAAAGTGTGAAATGATTGGCTCCATCCTGCACAGTCTCTTCACACTCAAGGCCAGCTGATCACGTTGCACATCTGAGGCTCAAACCTTCAGTTCTCTGCCTAAACACACATGCCAACACAAACGTTTTTTTTTTTAATAAAAAAAGAAGATAAATAGATAAAGTAGAATTAAAATAGAATAGAAAGTGCTAGAGTTAGAGGGTCAAATAAAGGTGGAATAGATGTGTTTTAGTCGTTTCTTGAAGATGGCTATAAGGACTCAGCTGCTCGGATTGAGTTGGGCAGGTCATTCCACCAGGAGGGAACAGTTAAAGGGGTCATATGATGCTTTTTTAAAGATCATTATTTTGTGTATTTGGTGTAACAGAATATGTTGACATGCTTTAATGTTCAAAAAACACATTATTTTTCAAATACTGTACATTATTGTAGGTCCTCTATGCCCCGCCTCTCTCAAACGCTTCGTTTTCTACAAAG